AGCTGTTGATGCCCAGCAAAATGAGAAAATGCGGTAAATTTGTGCAATAGTAGGTACTCAGATTCGAGTTAGGATTTGGGCTATTCCTACACATATTCTCAACACATGCGCTATCAACATGTCACATTGTTTATAACACATGTTCCTACATACTATCTCCTAATCCCCCACCCCACCCCCCGCCCCCTGCATACGCATTAGCTTATTTCACTTGAAATATTAGACTCGAATCTTTCCATTCCATTCTATCTATTCAGATTTGGGTTAGAAAAAATGTAGTACCACTAAAACAGTTGGTACCACGTTTTTTTCCAACTAGAATTTGAGTCCAAAAATGAATGCATATTGAGCGATTTTTCCTTCGGCACTAAATTTCATGCTGGGCGTAAAAACTCACAGAGGCACCACCCACCTTTGCGCAAACCCCGCCCCCGTTGTTAATTCCTACCACCAGCCAATATCTCATCTGCTTTCCAGTAAACAACCCCGCCTTCCCGCATTATGAATTCGGCGACCCAAACTACCGTATCCGCCTTTACTTCCCTTTCCCCGCCCCCAGCCTTCTGCCCCACCTAACAGTCATCGCAGATCGACTCCTGAGCCGAGTCTTGATAGTTTTTTTAGTAACTTTTCGTTCATAATTCATAGACTGTCACTATGATGTGCTGAATGCATAAATTGTGCACGACAAATGTTGGGATTGTGATTTTTTGTGAAATTTGTAATTATCCCTTATGCTTATTCTTACGTCAGAAAATAGCACGGCACGAAAGCTGACTTGACATTTCTGTATTCAAACATTATCGAAAGCAAAGCTTTTAACTTCTTTCTTTTTGCAGTTCTGGAGGCGCAGCATAACGGCCAACAAACATCGAAGACGCTCAAACACATACACATACACACACACACACGCAGAAAAACACACACACACGCAAGCAAAGACACACACACATACATGCACACACATAAACAGACACATGCACGCACAGACATACACAAACGTAACACACATACACACACATACATATACACACACTGACATGATCGTTTCAAAATGCAATTTTATAAGTTACGCAGAAAAGTACAAAAAGTGAAGGCGGAATGGCTTGCTGTAAGACATCCTTTGGAGCCGATATAAAGCTGTTACTGTCAGCGACAGCATTGAAT